TGTGGGGGAGTAACATGTAATATGTGGTCTCTGTAGATTCCCACTCTCGGCTTGTGTGTGGCGGGAGTAAGGAGTAATTTGCAGTCTCTGTGTCTGGTGTCTGGCACTGTGCATCATGTCTTTAAACTTCTTCCAAATTTCCTTACTTTCTATGGCTGAGTAATAATCCACTGTATGGACAGGCCACACTTATCCGTTCACCAGGCAATGGGCATTATGGCTGTTTCCACCCTTTGGCTGTTGGGAACAATGCTGCTGTGAACGTCTGTGCACAGGTGTCTGTGTGAACATGTGTTTTCATTTCTTTTGGGCATGTACCTAGGAGTGGAATTGCTGGGTCATACAGTAATCCTGTCTAATCATTTGAGGAACTGCTGGACTGTTTTCCAAAGTGGCTGCCCCATGTTACATCCCCACAGACAGGCATGAGGGCTCCAGCTCCTGCACTCCCTCACCAGCACTTGCTACTGTCTGGTTTTGATTCTAGTCATCCAACGAGTGTTAAGTGGTATCTCATCATGGTTTCGATTGCATTTCTCTGATGGTTAGTGATGTTGAGCATCTCTTCATGTGCCTATCGGCCATTTGCATACGTTCTTGGAGAAATGGCTGTTCATTTCCTTTGCTCGTTTTTACATTGGGTTGCCTTTTCCTGTTGAGTTGTCAGTCATTTATGTATTCTAGATACAAGTGCCTTCTCAGATATGTGATTTGCAGATATTTCCTCACATTCTGTAAGTTGCCTTTGCACTTTCCTAGTGGTGTCCTTTGAGACACAAAAGTTTTTAATTTTGATGAACTCCAATTAATCTATTTTTTCTTTTGTTGTTCATGCTTTTGGTGTCATATCTGAGAATCCTTTGCAAATCTAAGTACGTGAAGATTTATCCCTAGATTTTTCTAGAAGAGTTTTTATAGTTTTAACTCTTCCATTTGGTTCTGTGATCCACCTTGAATTAACTCTCTCCATGGTCTTGACACCCTTGTTGAAAATTAATTGGCCATAGCTATATGGGTTTATTTGTAGACTTTTAATTATATTCTATTAATCTATATGTCTGTGCTTGCACCAGTACCACGCAGTCTTGATTACTGTAACTTCATAGTAAGTTTGAAATAAGGGCTGTGAGTCTTCCAGCTTTCTTCTTCTTTTTCAGGATTATTTTGGCAATTCTGAACCCCTTGCAATTCCATATGAATTTTAGAATCAATTGGTCAATTTCTACAAGGAAGCCAGCTGGGATTCTGGTAGGGATGTATTGAATCTGTAGCTCAGTGTAGGGAGGGTTACCATCGTAATGTTAAGTATGCCAATCCATGAACATGGAATGCTTTCCCAGTTATTTAGACCTTCCAGAATTTTTAAAAACAATGTTTTGTAGTTTTTAGAGTATAAGTTTTGTATAAAATTTACTTATTCTTCAGTAGTTATTAAATTAAGTACTTACCAAATTAAATTTATTCTTAAGTACTTTATTCTTTTTGAGGCTATTTCAGGTGGAATTGAATTTAACTTTTGGGTTGTCCATTGCAAGCGTTTACAAATACAATTGACTTTGTATGTTGATCTAACATCCTGCAACCCTGCAGAACTCGTTTCTTTGTTCTAGTAGTTTTTAAAAAAATGAATTCTTTAGGATTTTGTATCTACTAGAGCATGTCTTCTACAAATAGAAACACTTGCTTCTTCCTTTCCAGTCTGGATGCAGGGGGACCATTTCTATGGCTTTGGTAAAAGCACATGGGTACTGGAATAACAGGATAAAGACCCAAGAGTGACAGCAACTGCCAGAGCCAAGTGGTATTCACCTTTCCATGGGCTTTTCCGCACCCAGGTGAGGAGGGCACCCAGATGCCCCAGCCCAGAGCTCTGAGGGGTTGTCTGTGATGCCTGTGCAGGCTAATTTCTGCCTTTTCAGGGGAGGCATTCTTCTGGGCTAATGTTGTGTGGTGAATGCATCTTTTACAATCTCACAGTAATTTAACCTGGGTGCCCATGAGTGCTGTGTGATCCTAGGAAACTTACTGAAGCATTTTCAGCCTCAGTTGCTTCGTTTGCATGGTGGTTGGGAACATTCGAGCCAATGCACATGAGAATATCTTGTCCGTGACAGGTTTCCAGAAGGTAGTGGTCATTGTTATACACCCGTTTTAAGTGCATCGATGTCAGAACATTCAAGTTATTTCAAAAGGCATCAATGGCAGGCTGTGAATGTCAGCTACAGAGAGAATGAGTGTATTTCAAATGCATACAGATACACATGAACACTTTCCTCTCAATTTCTTTTTATTTTTAATTTTTACCACAGAAAACTTTAAGCTCATACAAGGGTGGATAGAATCACATAATGGACCCTCCACGCCCCACCAACTGCATCACTTGTCCTGTTCACTCCCACCTTCTCATGTTGTTTAGAAGCAAATTCCAGACATGATGTCATTTCATTTGTAAAGATTTCACTCTGTTCACTTAAGGGCTGGAATCCGATCATTAGAAATGGCTTCACCATTATCCCTGCCCATTATCATGTTAGCCTCCAGTGACATCTGAAGAATGCCCCAAATCACATCAGCTTTAGATATTTTCCCACTGATGAATGAGTTACTGTTTGCTCCTTACCCAAACAGACATATGAATCATTGATTTCAGGAAGAGTTCTGTAACCTGGCACAGTCCCACAGGGATGGGAAAGGGAAGGGCATAAAACAGTGTTAACTGGCAATTCTCCTGTGTCCCATGTACATGCATACGCACAGACACACACATGACACACTCCACACAATGCAAAACACATGCATGCCACACACCACACACACCACACACTACACACAACACACATGACACACACCACAACGTACATCACACACACCACACGATACACACTCCACACAACACACACACACTATACACAACACACACAATGCACATGCCATACAATACCACCACATACACTACATGCACCACACATGACACACACCACACACCACACACATACTACACACAACACACACAGCACACATATACACACCACACATAACACACCACATACACTACACACAACACACATGGCACATGATACACACCACACACACAATACACAAACCACACACAACACACAACACGACACACCACACAACACACCACACATCACACACACCACACACTACACACACCACACATACACACAACACACAACACACACCAGATATACCACATACATGACACACACCACACACCACACACTACACACACCACACAATACACAATACACACTAAACACAATACATGCCACACACCACACACACCACATATGCTACAAACACACGACACATGCCACACACACTACACACACCACACACGACAAACACCAGATATACCACACACAACACACATGACACGCACCACACAAAACACACCATATATACTACATGCCACATACACGACACACACCACATAACACACAACACACACTACACATAACACAGACACCACACAATACACAACACAAAACACACATGACACACACATCACACAATACACACCACACAATACACACCACATACACTACACACAACACACATACTACACACACCACACACAGGTCTTTGGTCTGGACCGAGCCTGTTTTCTCCATTGCTCTAAGTGTGGGAGGGTGGAGTCTCGGCCGCCTTCCTTGTGCCCACCCCTGTTAGTTTCTGCTCAGGGCCTCGCTGTCCTGGGAGCCCCACCAGCCTTCCTGGGGCATCCGGCCCTGTGCCTTCTCCTGTGGAAGCTGTGAGGGTCTTTGCCACTTTGGGTGGGGCTGGTGGAGGGTGTGGATTTCTGATATCCCTGGATGGCAGTGCTGCGTGGCTCTGCAGGTCACTGGTGAGGACACTGTGAGTTGCCCAGGGCAAGAGCCCGTTCCAAGGTCCCACGGCCCTGGGTAGGTCCCACAGGGCTGGGTGTGCTGGAGGGGGGGTGTTGGGTGGGCCCCATCCACGTGCCCTGGATCCCACCACCTCACCCACGGCTGGGAAATAACTAGGGAGTGGAGCACAGGCAAAGCGCAGGTACAAGCGGCACACGGGCACAGGTGGGCACAGGTGCCCACACTTGCTGGCACCCAGCTCGGGGTTGGCCCTGGACCCACAGCCTCACCACCGAGGCCTCTTTCCCCCGAGCTCGTGGGGGCCTGGTGGGGCTCCAGCTCTCTGTGTCTGTCAGGCACGCACTGGGGTGTGTGTGCTTCTCTGAGGCCAGTGGTCCCATGTCCCTGCCCAGGGACCTCTGCGGTCCCACAGGTGGCTCGAGTCAGACTTTCCCAGGTGCACGTGCCTGTGGCATCAGGTCTCCGTGTGCAGCCACGTGCGGCCTGCGAGCCGAGGCTGAGTCCTCTGGGCCACCCCTCCCGAAACGTGGTAGAACCTGCCCAAAACACCAGTTGACGCCTCCTCCATGCAAATGCCCCAGGCCACACCTGCAGGGGACAGGGTGAAGGTCAAAGAGGACCCTGTCCTGCCCCCCAGTCACTGCTCAAAGACACTGCCACCCGGACCCTCCAGACTTGGGTTAATTTTGGGAGAAGGGTGGGCAGCTGGCACAAGGGCAGGGGCATGGAGACACTTGGGAGCCACCAGCCCGGCCTTCTTTTCTGGCTGCCGGGACGTCTGTCACAGGAACTAGATGTAGTTACAGGAAAATCAACCTTGTTCCAGTTTTTTGGCCCCTGAGATTGGAGGCCTGTGGGATTGTGCACCTACCACTCAGGGCCGACGTGGTGGCACTGATTTCTTAAAGTGCCTCTCTTCTTCAGTGGCATCTGCTTCCTGTGGTCGTCCCGATGGCCATGTTGAACCCAGAGAGGCTGGAGCCTGACCCCCACCCCCTGCTGCTGGCTGAGCTGTAAGCTGCATGTGGGTTCCGCCTCAGAGCTGCTGGCTCCTCCCATGGCCACAGCAGGGCTGGGCCCTAGCAGGCCTCGTGTCAGACGCCGGTGTTCTCTGCTGTCCGAGTGGCCTTGCCCCTCTGGGCACTCCTGGGGCTGGGGAGCAGCCTCCGGGACATGTGGGGCTGAGTGTGACACTCGGAGTGGGGGTGGATGTGGAGCTTCCTGGCACAGCGGGCCCAGACGACCTGTTCCCACCTCAACCTTCCCCCGTAGTCTCCCGTCCTGATGTGAGCCGGTGGTGCTGACGCCTGGTGAGCAGGAAAAGCTCCTCTTGTCCTGCAGCACCCACACCCACACCCACACTGAGCAACCCTGACGCTCACCCGCGGGGCCCAGGAGCCAACGCCTACGGATGCATTGATTACATGGGTAGTCACAGGCACTTGGGCTGTCGGCTTGCCAAGCATCTGTCTGAAACCAACACCTGGAATTTCTCTTTTTCCCACCACATAAGCTGCATTCACATCTGCTTGTTTGGAAAATTCAGCTTGTTTCCTGGCTGGGTCCAAATATCTGCGTGGACCCGGATATTTTTGGACAGGCCCTGGAATTCCTCATGGAAAGCCATAGCCAGACCAGTTTCTGTGTCCACTTCACAGGGAGTTACATGTCCCGGAGCCTCAGTGGCTGTTAGAAAATGTGGGCACACTTGGGGCATCCCTGTCTCCTGCTGACTCCCTCTCTATTGCTCTGTCTCTGTCTGTCTGTCTCTGGTTCCCCCTCTATCTCCCTGTCTGTCTCTATCTCTCTCTCTCTCTGTCTCTGTCTCCCTATCTCTCTGTGTGTCTCCCTCTGTCTCTTTCTCTGACTCCCTCCCTATCTCTCTGTGTGTCTCCCTCTGTCTCTTTCTCTGACTCCCTCTTTATCTCTTTGCCCCTCCCTCTCTTTACACCCAGCACACCTGGATTTGAACCCAGACCCAGCCTCTTGCCAGCTGTGTAACCTGGGTGAGGCCAACGTGCCTGTCAAGCCAGGCTGAGCACCTGCTGGGCTCCCAGCGCAGGGCTGGGCAGTGGCTGAGGCTGCTGGCTCCACCCTCGGGCTGCGCACCCCAGGCTGCTGTGGGGCCGAGGGGAGGTGCGGTGGCCCCGGCACTGGCCCTGGCTCTGTCTCTGGGGGCAGCTCACCGGGCGCTGTGCTGACTCTGCAGTCAGTCCAGAAGGTGGGGGCCGTGGTGTGCGGGATACGTGTGTCTTCAGCACCTAGAACAACTCCCACCGGTCCACGGGGCTCTACCGAGTGGGAGGGTGGTCTTGGGAGGCGAATCCCCTGGGTTCCCTCGAAGGAGGGGAGGAGCCGTCTCCCCAGGTCATGGGGGAAATGAGGGCGGTGCTTCCTGCCACTGCCCTTGCCGTGCACAGCCTGGCCTCAGACAGAGCCTTCCCGGGTGGGCGCAGTGGCTCTGCCTCCCCCCAGCGCCTCCTCCTTTGCCGACTCTGTCATTCACCGCCTGAAGCCATGGCTAACAGTAACCAACCCAGGTGGTGCTGGGCAGGGTGCATGGTCTCTGGGGGTTTCCTGGACGACTGCGGGATGATCAGGGCTGGCCAGGGCCACAGAGAGGGGCCCACAGCTGCCTGTGCCAGGGTGGAGGGTCCGAGGGTGTGGACAGCACAGGGCTAGCCCTGAGCTTGTCGAGAGTTGTGGATGAGATGCGTTCCTGTGGAGGAAGCCTCCGCACAGCTGCACTCTGGCGGGATCGGGGTGGGACGGGCGTGTTCCCGTCTGGCAGCCGGCTGAACAGGAATCTAGTGATTTTGGGCAGGGGTGGAGATGCGAGGGATGGAAAGGGGATATTTAGCTTCAGTGTGTCATTTCCCACCAAGATGAGAGTCTGAACCTGCCTGTGTGTAGCTGGGTCTGCGACAAGCAACAGCATCACCTGCTGTGACGACGTGACCATGATCTTCTGTGGGGCTGCAGCATCTCTCTTGGTGGGCCTCGGTTTCACCTCTGTGACGACGTGACCATGATCTTCTGTGGGGCTGCAGCATCTTTCTTGGTGGGCCTCGGTTTTACCTGCTGTGACGAGTTGACGATCACCTATGGTGCTGTGGCATCTTCTCTTGGGAACTGAGTCCTAGTTTACCTGCTGTGATGATGTGACAATGATCACCTGTGGTGCCAAGGCATCTTCTCCTGGGGTGGGTCCTGATTTCACTCAGCTGCCTCAAGAACCTGACAGTAGGTTTTTGTTGATCTTTTTCTAGCTGGGGCAGGGCCTCCGCTCACCCACAGAGAAACACCACAAATGCTCACTCCTGGCCACTGGCTGCAAGAGTTGAAGAAAGAAGAAAGAAAAGCAGCTCAACAGTCAAAGACAGGTTTATTTTGGAGAATAAACCTGAGAGGGGCTTCTGGCCGATTTAGATCAGTTGTGTTTTCTCTTACAGACTAGGTGGATTTAAGGGTTTAGGGAGGGGGAGCTTATGGCAGGTTCAGAATGTTCTTGTGTGAAAGGGAGTTTTATGACAGGGTTGGAATGTTTGGGTCCGGAGGAGTTTATCTCGGGGTTGGCCTGTTTTTGGTTGAAGTTGTCATTTGTAGTTTATGGTCATGCTGACATTAGACATTAGGTTGATGTTGTTTTCTGGGCTGGATTTTGGTGGTTTTTAATCAAGGGGAGCTTAAAATGGTGGTGCTTGTCCAAGATGTTGATGCTTCTGCGCGGTCAATCCAGGCCCTAGCGTTGTGAAAGGAGAGGAGGCAGTGTGTTCTTTCTGCTCCTTCCTGCTGAGAGAGAGTCATCATGGCGGGGCATGATGCAGCACTGGCGTGGAATAGGGTGATTTGTTCCTGGTAGCTCTCTGTTTCAGGGGCTGAGAGGCAGCATCTGCTGAAACAGCTAGTCTTCATCTTATGGGACTTTAAGAAAGCACAGCTTAGGTTTCAGTGATTTCCAGTTAGAAAAGTGGGGAAAAAGAAAAAATTGAAAACATTATTTTGGAGACTTGTAGCCAGAAAAATTAAAATTTAATCTAAACTGTAGAAAATAATAAAAATTGAAAAACATCAGCAGGACTAGAATTTAACAATAGGTGTGCTATAGTTTTTGAAACATAATTTTCTCTCTCCAGTTTTCCATTTTTATTAAAAGACAAGTTATGGTAGGGCTAGTTTGCTTTATTATATTTGGCTTAACTATTTGTGCACAGTGCAGCAAGTATAATGACTTTTCACATAGGCCTTTTAAACTGCCTTTGATGGAACTTTGTTTTATAGAAGGGATCTGAGATAAGACTTTTTAAAGCTGAGCCCAGCCATGGAATTGTACCATTAGATATCTATGAGTGGGTAAATTCCAGTCTTCTTCAGGTCCCAGGATAACCCGGGGTTCCTGGCTGTCAGAAAGTGACATTCTTCACATACTGCAGGTCAGAACCCTGCGCAGGGACGGTGTGCACAGAATACGAGGCCGGGCTCTTGGGGCTTCCTCGGCTTCGTAAGTCATGCTTGATCCCTGAAAGGAAAGCACAACATTCCGTCAAAACCTCGGTGAAATAGCAAGTTTCTCCAGCTGTGCCCTGCTACAAAAGAACACAGGTTCTCGCTGCACTTATGCAAATAACCATGTTGCCATAACTTACGAATGTGCACAGTTTCCAAATTCTGGAGAAAATCAGGAAGAGAGAAATATGCTCCAAATTTGTTCATGGGAGTATACTAAATTGTTAAGAGCTGTCAACAGCTCAAAAGAAAAGTTTTGACTCTGAAAAGCAAAACAAAGGATTGGCCACATTTTAAGCAAATGGAGTGTCAAAAAAATCACTCCAGTGTCCTGTTAGTTCAGTTCATGGAGCCAATTCCTGTCCTGCTTGATACTCATGAACATTTTAGCTCTTCAAGAGTCCTGAACGTTTTCCCTCTATTCTGTTGTCACAATCTCCAAAGTTATCAGAAACTTGCATTCAAGAGCACTCGTTAGAGCTTCATAGCTGATTCAAAAACCACCTTCTAAAGAGGACCAAAACAAGACAACATTGCTTACGAATGACAAAAAGTTTTAGGGTAGCCATAGTTAAAGACACAATTGAGGCTGGTCGTAGTAGCTCACGTCTGTACTCCCAGCACTTTGGGAGGCCAAGGCAGGCTAATGACCTGAGGTCAGGAGTTCAAGACCAGCCTGCCCAAGATGACGAAACCCCCATCTCTACTAAAAATACAAAAAATTAGCTGATTGTGGTGGTAGCTGCCTGTAGTCCCAGCTACTTTGGAGGCTGAGGCAGGAGAATCACTTTAACCCGGGAGATGGAGGTTGTAGTCAGCTGAGATCGCACCACTGGACTCCAGCCTGGGTGACAAAAGCAAAACTCCATCTCAAAAAAAAAAAAAAGGACACAATTGACAAGGAAATCTGTTGCCTGTGGCACACAGTAATTTTAACAGAATTATAATTATTACCAATAACATACGCTGAAATATATCAGAATTAGAGGTGTCTCCCATAACCTTGGAACATATACCAATAACATATTTATATGAATTTAGCCTCAAGAAAGCCAAACACCATTTCATATTTGACTAATGCTTCCTGCGTAATTTTTATAGCAAATAAGCCAAATTTCGCCTTTACGTTAGTGTAATATTAATGTTAAATCCAATTCTTAACAAAAGCTTATTTGCACAATTTTAATGTTTGACCATAAGGTAAGATTTTTATGGACCTTTTATAACTCTTTACAATTTTCGTAAAAGAGCAGGCTAACACTCTAAGAGAAACCCATTGTGCTTTTATTTTAATGCTTAATTTACTGAAAAACTGGAGGATATCCCTTTAACTTTAGCCAATATGTTTTCACACAGAATTTCCTTTACAGTCAACCTTTCACGACTTCTTAAACCTTTATTTTTATTTTATCCAACTTAAAACTCTTTAGCCTTTTAACCTAGGCAAAATTTCACATTCTCATGCCTCCTTATAGTCTTTTTACCAAAAGTATATTTTACTTTCCTTACACACCTTCATGTGAACTGTTTCTTCAGTAGTCTTAAATACACGTTACTCTGCTAACTCTTAGCAACCTTTACCTTTGTTGAAAACCTTGGAAGTTTGGGATTTTAACGATGTACTAGGTGCGGAGCCTGGGACCTAGACAGAAGTGTGGGTAAGGCCTGACTCATTTCAGCGCCTAACTCCAGGTGTCCCAGGCCTTACCTAGCTGCAAAGCAGTCAAGTTGTGCAGCTAAGAGTCGTAGTGGCATTTTATAAAGCATTTAGGAGGCCTCATCACCTTTAAATTTTACAACATTTCTTACATAAACTCCATTTTCTAAATTCTTCCACGACAGCATAGACAAGCTACAATACTCCTTGACTTTCTGACTTGCCCTAAACATCCCTCTCTTCAGCCAACCAGATATTTTACTTTAGGACAAGTATTTGTCATACAAGAGCCCTTCTCATATAAAATCTCTTTTCTTTAGTACCTTTTTGCATAGCTAGGGGCTTGGCTAATTTCAGATGTCCCCAGGCCTTGTCTAGAATTTAACACTACAAAATAAATTAAACAATTTTTAAGTCAAAGAAGCAGTTTATGACCTAAAGCATGTAACAAACCTAATGTTTGACCTGCATAATTTGGATCAAATGTTTACATATTTGAAGATATTTTTATTTTACCAATAGTCTTTAAAACTCTTTTTATATTTATAACTTTCCTTATGCCTCACTTATTTCCTAGTTTCTTTTACCTTGTTTTATATATAACCTTTAAATAAGCTTTGAATTAGACACAAATTATTTACCCTTTAAAAAGGACACAATTTTTAGAAAGAACATTTTCCTATAATATTTTTTATTGGAAAATACCTAAATAATGAAATAGCTGTACTTTAGTTGAATACAACTTTAGATTCCAAATTATGACAAGTTTGTTTACAAGTATTTGTCGCATCATATTTATCTAGTTAATCATTTGCCTAGATTATTTATGAAAACTGTGATAGTCATTAAAAGTCTTGAAACTGCCATTGCAAAATTATAACTGAGACAGTGAAAACGATCTGACCTAACTGACTCCATCTCGCTTCTAACCTGCCAGATGCCGTCCCAATACCCTGGGTTCTGTGGACTCGCTGGTCGAGGGGGCGAGTATCCCGGCATCCTCAGTCCTCCGTGGTCAGTGCCAGCAGTGAAGAGATTTCCTCCTGTGATGGTTGGAGAGCTTCATTATGAGCCGTACCTGAACGGGGAAGGTGTCCCCATTGGGGGCCATTTTTCAGTGTCCCCAAAGACCACAGGTGGGGCACAGTTTGCTGTGGGCCAGGCGTTAGGACAAATCTTTGCCCAGTGTCAGGGGTTGTCACATCAGAAACAGAGTCCCAGAGAGATGGGGGAGTTTTCTTTTGGGTTATTGGGAGGGTTTTGTGTAACTGACTTTTGGACAGCACAGGCAAGCATCTGGCATTTCAGATGGAGATGTTTGCCTTTTTGAAAATTTTGTTCCTCGTTTCCGTTGGTAAAGACATGGAGGCTGCATTTAGGAGGTCCCACTGAGATGTCTGGGGACCTTCCTCTAATTTTTGTAATTTTCCCGGGGTATCTTGGTGGATTGGGAAATAAACTGGAGGTGGAGAAAAGTTTGATCTTCTCTAGATTCTGCGTCCAAATTGGTATATTTTTGCATAGCTTCGGCGAGACATGAAAAGGACAGGATTTTCCTGGGGCTCTTGTGTAATTTCTCTAAGCTTTTCATAATTAGCTGCCTTATGGGCGTTTTTGACCCTGCCCTTGAGGAGACAGGTGCTCATGCGGCCTCTTCGCCTGACACCGGTGTCTGCCTGTTGGTAAGTCCCGTCTGGGTCTCTGTGGGGGCCTGCGTACTTGGCCAGTGGATTCTCTAAAGGGGTCTGAGTATGGAGGTCATCTGCGTGTGTTTCAGCTGAAGGCCAGATGTGCTCCTCTTGTCAGGAGTGAGGGTGGAGGTTAGAATTATATAAATGTCATGCCAAGTTAAATTAAAGGGTCGGGTATGTGCAGGAATTCCCTGTGATAATGAGAGGGGTTTTCAGAGAAGGGTTCCAGGCGCTGTTGGATCTTCGACAAACCAGATGCGGAGAAAGGGACTCGAACTCCAGCAGTGCCTTCAGCTCCAGCCCCTTCCTGGGGAGGGGGAACGGCAGAGGTGTAGGTTTTGAACAGCTGGAGTAGTTTTTGAACGCGTGACAGATGGAGAAGGAGGGTTGGGGTTTGGGGCTAAAGGCTTGGTGGCAGGAGGGACCAACAGGGTGAAGGGTTCGGGTGGTGAGGAGCAGATGCAGGGGGTTCATCTGCAGGGTCAAAGGGGTTTCGGAGGAAGGGAAGACCTGGGGGGTTTTCATTAAGAAGAAAGCTTTCATGAGGGGTGCAAGCTTGACGTGGGGAGGGCAGAAGAAACCTGAACGTAGGGAACCTCTTGCCATTTGCTGTTCCTGGCTATAAAGTTGTCAAGGTCCCTGAGAATTTGAGTCAAAGTTTCTGTTTTTGGGCCATTGGCTGTGATTATCTAGTTTGCATTGGGGCCGGGCTGTGTTACAGTAAAAACCTAAACGCTGTGGCATTAGGCTCCCCTGTAAGCCAAGCTTGGCGAGGCTGCGGACACGGCCGAGCAGGGAGGACGTGGGGATGTGGGGTCGTCTGGCTCCCACATGGGCTGGTAAGAGCGGGCCGAGGGTGTCTGCTTTTGTTCTAGGTAGGAACATGGGACTGCCTGGCACCCATGTGGGGTGGCAAGGGGAGGCTGAGGGCATCTGTTTTGTTCTAGGTGTCTCCAGAAAAAAGACAGAGACCTGGAATCCTCTTTATAAAGAGGACAGTTAAGCTGAGAAGAGATTGGGCTTCCCAAAGTTTCTTCCAACTTAGTACCCTGGTCCTCTAGGGCCAGGATGGCAGACCTGACTCCGGGCACCGCGAGACAACCAGGGGCGGACAGGTCTTAGCAGTCAGCTGGGTCAGCGTCCCGTGTCAGAGAGAGAGAGAGAGAGACAGTGTGTGTGTGTGTGTGTGTGTGTGTGTGTGTGTGTGTGTGTGTGTTACTGCAGGGTGGGAATGTTTCTGGTCAGAGGTGTCATTTGTGGTTTGTGGTCATGCTGACATTAGCCGTTAGGTGGATGTTTTTGGGGCTGGATTTAGGTGGTTTTTAATCAAGGGGAATTTAAAATGGTGGGGTTTGTCCAAGATGGCGATGCTCTTGCTCTGTCACTGGCAAAGTGCCCAGGCCGAGAGCTGTTTCCTGAAGTTCGTTGCCCTGCATGCAGGCACTGTTTTTGCCTTCTGGCTTCCACCTGCACTTTTAATACCAGACAAGGGTTGCCTTCCAGGTGAAACACTGCAGGGCAGAGAGGGAGGCTTGGGGGTCCCCCGCCCTCAGCTGTGCTTTCTGAATCAGCGCTGAACTGACCGGGCACATGGATACCCCGGCCCTGTGCTGACCCTGCATGTGAACACCCCGGCCCTGTACTCACCTTGCACGTGGACACCCCGGCTCTGTACTGACCGTGCACATGGACTCTGGACATCCCGGCCCCGTGCTGACCGTGCACGTGGACACCCCGGCCCCATGCTGACCCTGCACGTGGACACCCCAGTCCTGTATTGACCGTGCACATGGACATCCCAGCACTGACCACGTATGTGGACATCCCAGTGCTGTCCTACTGTGCACATGGACATCCTAGAGGCATTTAGACACTGACTGTGCATGTGGGCTTCCTGGAGGCATTTAGACACTGGCTGTGCACGTGGGCTTCCTGGAGGCATTTAGACACCGACTGTGTATGTGGGCTTCCTGGAGGCATTTAGACACCGACCGTGCACGTGGGCTTCCTGGAGGCATTT